GATAAAAATTGAAGCAGTCTGTTGTTCCCTTGTTTTGTAGTTAAGTTTTCTTTCTTTTTGCCCACGGATTGGTTGGCTGGAAGAAGGCCAGGGCTCTTGCAGTTCAGCTGCAATGTGGAGAAGTGTGAGGAAGCAGTGTAGGGCGATTCCTCCCCATGGGAGATCTAACTCTCTGCCCATTTGTAAAGGAAGAAGCACTCCATAAAATGTCTCTGCAAAAGGACACGACTTTCTCGCTGTGTCCTGGGAGGATGGTCAAGTGCCAAAGGTGAGGTGATGCTGTCTGTCACTAGGCGGTTATTTGCAGGGGTTAATGGATCCATGGAAGGATGGGACTAGACAGCATTCCTTGCCCCCACGGTTCACGGTTACCCTACTCTGGCCAGCGGGGGGACAGCGCCACCTACTGGCTACCCACACACATTTAAGGGTGTTGAGAAGGATGGTGGTTGTATTTGAATAAAAGATTCATTTCTACAGTTAACGTTCGGGCTAGATTCTCTAATACAACATATCCAGCAAAGGAGGATGTAAAGCGCCATTGTGCTTAATATCTTCACTTCAAGGTTTTAGCCAATGTGAAATGGATAGATGAATGGATAGATTAATGTGTGTGCGCGCGCGCCCTGCGCGTGCACGCAGGCGCCATAAATAACACCCCAACCAGCCAGAGTCTCAGTCAATTAATCGCACAATACAGTACTAGGGTTTTTCCAAAGAAACTGAATTAATTTAAGGCAATAGGCAAAGTAACATTAAATAGGTTATGTGTTGTTAGTTTGCAATTAGAAATCCTTGACGCTCGGAGGGAAGGCCTCTCTTTTTAATAAAGGACATCTTACCTGCGCCGGGCTTGGAGTGTCATTCGCAGAGCCCCCCTGCCTCGCCCTTTTCATATAGCTAATTTGACAGTTTCTCCAGGTAGAATATTTAACCCTGCTTTACAAACTGAAGAGCCCCCATCCCCCGATTTTTTTCCTTCTTGTAAAAAGATCTTTCTCTAGGGATTTCAAAATGTATAGTGACTTCCTTGCTCACTGACGAAGGCAGCAATATTTCATCACCTCAAGAAACGTAAAACTAAGATGGAGACTATTTTCTCTTTCTCTGCTGAACAACTTTGATATTTCCTTGTTCTCTCTTTTCCCCTCACTTCTCTGGGGGGAAAAAGCCGAAGTTCGTATTTGAAAAGGACGTCCCTAATTCTTTTCCTTTTTTCCTTTTTGGTGAGATGGGAAGACCAATGAAATAATTAGCCAAACAAAAGAAGGCCTATAATAGGCGGGACTCCCAGCAGGTAGGGTAGTTGAGTATCTATGGCTGGAACCGGAGACCATTACTTTCATATCTTTATTTTAAGAGTAAATTAATCAGACGTTTTACAGCTGCGGGGAGGGAGAGGGAAAAAGTGAAACTGTGCCTTTTGCGCTGGACAACAGGTACATAACACAAATTCTTTTCTGTAAAGTCAGGAAAGGCAAATATTAAGACCCGTTGTGTCTACAGCAAGTTCTCTCTCTTTTTTTTTTATTGTTGCCCATGTCTGTTCTTCCCTATTTCAAAGTTGCCTCCTAGACACTTTTAATAGTGAATTCTCTCTGAGATCGTACATAGGGTTGGGCTGTGTCTATTTGTCTAAAAATCTCTCCACACGTTAAATATGTCCGTAGTTTTCACAGGGAAGGTACATTTTAGTAAATGTTCCACCGCTACTTTTGGTGATGGAGCATTATTTATTTTTCCTACCTGCCCTCATCGTTTTCTAACATGCATGCCTCTAGGGAAGATATGACAATATACAGGTAGTATCTATGGCCACTCCGAATCACCCTGACCTATAGACACACTGATTTCATTCCACCATATTTCCAAGCTAACATCGGGATTCCAAGCTACCGACATAGTTCCGAAGGTCACTAGTACTGGTGCAGGAACCATTCATTTCAATGGGATGTACACCACAGCTTTATTTTATGGGCATTTCCTCTTCAAACGGTAAACTATTCACCTTGGCATAGTCAGAAGAAAAGAACTGGAAGTACTGTATTGCTTCTTGGTTATCCTATAGGTGCCTTATCCTAAATGCCTTGGAGCAGAAGAAAGGGCCATTAATTAAAATAGTACACACTTTAGGAATGAGCACTCAACATATGTGTTATATTTTATTCAGTGGCGTAATTAATGTTATTAGGAAATGAAATGAAAAGGTATACATTTATTTGATGCATAGTGATAAAACTGTGGCAGTAGTGTAACTAACGGAAGGTGAGCGATTGATTTCATCAAAGGTATAGTTTTAATAGGGGAGATGACACCTAACCGAAAAGCTTTAAATACGTGTTTTCGTTGAGCATCACATTGGCTCCGGAAAAATACTATTTTAACCAGCCCGATCCACAACACATCTATGAGTAAGTTTTTTCAATGAAGTTAGTCAAGTCCAGTGTCTCACCTATATGAAAACCAGTTTCGATTTAGCTTGTTAATGGTATGCCTGTTTTTTTCAAACAAAACACTGCAGTATTTTTAAGCGAACTTTCATAGCCTTTATTATTTTAAGAAATATATTTTAGCCTTAAATTTAGAATTCCTAACAAAATATATAAAAGTATTTATGTTTCCTAATATAAAATTCATTTAACCATTGCCAGAGTGTAGATTTTTCCTTAAAAGTCTGCAAGCAGAGAAAGTGTCTGCCAAAGAATTCTTGTATTTCTTTCCAGAATTACAGATTTAACAAGATAACCCAGGCTACAAATCGACATCACAAATCTATCTGACCTTTGCCCTAATATGTCACCTTCAAAAGCCACATTAAAAAAAAACATGGCTGTTTTCTATCTATGCTTTTTGAGTACTAATCAATGAAAAGAAACAGGAGACAATTACTCAAGGAGTGACAGTGAATAGAGCTGTGAGCTCTCTCTGCTGGGACTCGTTATATGGAGATGCGGGTCTATTGCATAACTCCATGGGAGTGGCAGGCTTGCAGCCATTTTCAAAAGGCTTCCCCTCCCCCCTCAATTTGCACAATCCACCCACAAAAATAAGTCAGTTCCCAGATTAAATTCTGCCCCAGTACAAACAAATCCATTTAACAGAATAATCCAGAATATTTGGGACTACATCCCAAACTCAAGCATACAGATTCAGAAGTGTATTCCATGGAAAAATCAGCTGAGCTTCTGGTTCATGTTTATAGCAGCATATTTGGCCAGGTACTTTACAGATGTTTTCCTACTAATTTTTCAGGAATCAATATGAGGTAATATGAAATGAATCTACATTTAAACTAAATTGAACGAAAGTCCTAGATGCAAAAGTCTTTATACTTTGTCTTTATACTCTGTTTTATGGTATTATGTTAACCGCCCAGAGTTGGGCAAGTTGCCAGATGGGTGGCATATAAATAAATAAATAAATAAATACATAAAAGCTGTGTTTTAGTGTAGATAACAGTGCTTTTCTGCCCAATTAAGGCTCAACGCTTAGTTTCCCTCACCCAACAACTCAAAGGATTCACTTAGGCCTAGCAACCAGTTCGAGAAACTTGAGGCAGATATAGATATAGATATAGATACAGTATAGATATACAGTACTAGATATAGATATCGATATAGTATTATAGACCAGAGAATTTCAACATTACCAAACTCTATAATCTAATCTTGTAAATCCTCACCTACTCAATATATTCATCCAGAATCTAGCTGGAGATGTCTCTGGCAAACCTTCGTGAGTCACTTTGTTAAAGCCTTCCACGATTTCACGGATCAAGTTGCCTTCCTTTTGTTTGTTTGTTTTCTTGCTCGATCCCACCCAACCACCTACTGCCAGGGCCCACAGAATGCTGGGGAGCACCTGTTCGACTTTTCACTAAGCAAAAAAGCTGTGACACAACAAATGCCAACCTTCTCCGCATCAAAGCAATCGATATTCCTAGAAGGACCCCTCCCCCCGTGAAGGGGCAACAAACGTTTCCAATATCACTGCTACCACCTCTGCTGGTGCTACTTACTATTCGCTGCTCGATGTGGTCTCCTATCACCCCAGTCCCGCCATAGTGTGTGTGCCTCGGGAGATACGGGAAGGTGCCAGGCTGCCAGGCCACGCGTTGAGGGCGTTGGGTTTCTCTCTCTCTTCCTCCCCTCGCCCCCCCCCACTTGTTTTCAGTAAATGAGGCACGTTTTGCCTCCAGACAGCAACCGACCTGCTCACGGCCCAAGAGGGCCTCGATTTGCTCGCTCGGTGTGGGTGTGAGTGTGGGTGTGTAGGTGTGCGCGTTTTAACCATGAAAGTGGGTCGTCAGCAGGAGACCAAGTTTCGTAATCCAAATATTCATTCATACTAATGCATATTGTGGTTGTTGTTACCTTCGGCCCTTTTGTAGAAGACAAGTTGCAATTAACAGCAAGCAAGCTGCAAGGAGACGAAACCTGCAGCGTGTTTTTTTTTGGGGGGGGAGGAATCCACTGGGGGAACAGCCCCAAAGCCAAACATGACCCAGCAATAAGGGCGTGAGGGGAGGGATAAGAAAGCCCCCAGCCCTTCGTCCCTCCTCTCAACTTCTCCTCCTCGAAACCCTTCTCTCTTCCAGCCCCAAAGTTAGAGAGGGAGCGAGCGAGGGCGGGAGGAGAGCCAGCCAGGAGGGCGGCAGGAGGAGGAGAGACCCCGGTGGGCATCTGCCCCGCTCGCCTCCGGCCTCCCGTCTCGACCCCTGCCCGGCCGAGGCCAGCACGTCGTCCTCCCCCCCTCATGCGCCCGAGCTCCCCACAGGGGCAGCGCCCCCTCCTTGCTGCGGCTGCTCGTGCCGCC